GTATATATATATATATATATATATATATATATATATATATAATTTAATTATTGTCTTATTGGAAATATTATAGTTAGATTCCACAGATGAACTATTTCTGTTTAATTTTCTTCCTCTATGCTTTTGTAAATAAGACAATCAGAATAAAAAAAAAAAAAATCTACCTTATAAAAACCCGACTTTGACTTTGACATTTGGTTAATAATAATAATATAATTTGTAAAACAATATTTTAGTTAATAAACTATATGTAATGCAGGCTAAATTCAGTTGTTTTGTAACAATAGATTAATAATTCAAATAACTAAATCTTGATTGTTTCCTGGATTAAAATCAAGGCAAACAGGAAGATGAAAATGACATTGTGTATTAAAATATTTCTTAACTCAAGAAATCATTTAAATGTATTTTAAATAAGGGTCAGGATTGGCCAAACATAAGTGGCCCAAATCTACATCTTTTTAAATCTGGGCCAAATACTACATTTGATGAGCTGCCTTAAAGATGGTGCCACCTCTTCCAAACCCAGCCCATGTTTGGCCCACATGCTGTATGCCAATGCAGAATGAATGCCTGCTGTGCCAGCTTCATGCCAAATCTGAGCCAGAATTCTTTGCTACCTGAATAGTAGTAAGTCACTACTGTTTTTCGATGACTATGAATTCGGACATACTACTCAACTCTCACACTGTTTTTAACATAGCTACTAGATCGTATGAAAGTATATGATCTCGGACGCAGCCACAGTCTTTACAGTATAAAAAATATAACACGTAATATAGGAAGTCCCCATAAAACATGAACACCTATGTGTGAGTGTGCATGTGAAATGAATCAGCACAGTGGCTGCGAGTGTTCTACAGTGCAAGTGTATGTGTGTGTAATGAACAGGGCAACACACAGCAGTTACAGTAGAGTATAGTAATGATATTTACTGAATGCTGTAGATGAGGCCTGGTACTGCCTGCTCTCTGAGCCAGCGTCCACAGCCAGGTCATAGGAGCCTTCTGCGGGCCCCGGAGCTGATGCCGTCTGGGGCCAGGCCTGCTTCACCAGCAGCACTGTCCCAAACAAACACAACACAAGAAAGGTTACACACACACACACACAAGTGTCACAACTGTCGCCTCTATGCAAACACTGCTGTCTTCCTCTCACATATCCGTCTGTCTGAAACCACTGCAAAACAAAGGGCTCCTGGAGTCAAAACGCTACTCTACCGCATAAAAGCACAGATTTCAAAATGGCTGCCTACACTACCCATAATTCTACAGCAGGATGTTTCTGCTGATCGGACCCTTTGCTGAAATAATAAAAGAAAAACTCCACGATGGTGTTATCAAGACTTTCAGAAAAAAAAACAATAGTGTGAGACTGAAAACGGCAGCCAGATGAGAAAATCACATCAAATTTACTGTCTGCCCTCATAGACGCTGCATTAGAAGCACCTCGCAGAATCGGTTATTAGGGATGTTTTTTGGCCATGAGGGCTGGTGTCCCTAGCTGCTTGCCAGTCTCACTTTTTTCATTTATTAATTCATTTGACCATAGCCTCACTCTTTTTATTTATTATTTTGCTGCAGCTCCGCTCTTTTTATTCATTTTCTCGCAACCCCTGAGCAAAATGCTCTTATCATTCCACCCCAAACAGTGGCACCTTAGTGAATATAAGAATTTGAATAATTAATATTAATGAATATTACACCTGCTCAATGAAAATCAGATGATTCCCCACATTAATAAATCTGACATTACTTGATTAGAAAATCTAAAAAGGGGAAAAAAAAGATTAAGCCAACTATAGAAAGTATTACTGCGGTTAAAAGAGTCTTGCAGGTAACAGTGCACTACTTATTTTTTCTTCCAAAGGCATCAATATAACAACGCCACTGTGGTTCAGTGGTCAGCACATTGCGTTACGATGTTGCTGACCCAAGTTTGAACCTCACCAGAGTAAATTATTATTATTTGTTTTGTGTTAAGACATATAATACTGTATGGGTTACTAATGTAGGTGTACTTTTTTTTTTTGTGTGTGTGACCACCGTTACAAAGGACTGGATATACATAAAGAATTTTGCACAGAATATATATTCAGAAATTGCAGCAAAGGAAATTGTGATGTTTTGAACAATAGTGTTGAAGATTTATCTACCCTTTAATGTTCTCATATTAATGGAAAACATTTGATGTTCTTAAGCAGCTGTTTGCTTGAAAAAGACGTGATAGTGTCATTAGAATCGGAAATGACGTTATTTTAATTTAGACAATCGTGAACTGAGTTGGGTCGGTCTAAGGCTTGAAACTCCAGGGCTGAAAAGGAGTCCCACTCCGGCCCTGACCATCTTGATCCGATTAAAGTCAAAACTGAACTAAACAGAAATGGAATTAAGACGTGGAGTATACATATATTAGTGGCATTATTGAAGTAAACACCGCAATCAAACTATTACCGTCTTGTAGGACTTTTCGCCATTTCACTATTTACCGACAAGACCCACACACACACGGCTGTCAGTAAAGGTCCGTGCACGCATGCACGCACGCACACGCACACACACACAAATATCGCGAAATGCAAACGTTTTTTTCCTTTCCATTGGCGTGCGTTAGTAAATTCCATAACACTCCCACCAGTCCTTACTCCTTATTTGCATCTAATACCCCAGTTTGCAGAAACCGACCAGCTCAATGGAACTATTAATGGGGCTATTATGTTTTCCAGTCAGGCTACCAAAAGTCTATCCACCCTGCCTGTTGGACTATCTTATTGGGAGGTCAAATATAGCGGTTAGCTCGGTGGTTAGCACTGTCGCCTCACAGCAAGAAGGTTGCTGGTTCGAGTCCCAGCTGGGTCAATTGGAATTTCTGTGTGCATGTTCTCCCCATGTTGGTGTGGGTTTCCTTCAAGTGCTCCGGTTTCCGCCACAGTCCAAACACATGCGCGATAGGTGAATTGAATAAACAAAATTGCCATCCGTAGTGTACGTGTGTGAATGAGTGTGTATGGGTGTTTCCCAGTACTGCATTGCAGCTGGAAGGGCATTCACTGTGTACAACATATGCTGGATAAGTTGGTGGTTCATTCTCCATTGGCGACCCTTGATAAATAAGGGGACTAAGCCCAAGGAAAATGAATGAATGATTTAACTTTATGAGATATAGAGCATTGTAGAAGGGGGATATGGGTAGTGGGGCAGAAACAGACCAGCTCAGTGGAACTATTAAGAAGGCTATTATGTTTTCCAGTTGGGTTACCAAAAGTTTATGCACCCTTAATGGGAGTTAAAATATAGCCTATTTCCAGTGCTTTTGCATTCGCTCTCAAATTGTGGTAGTTATGTTTTATGTAGTGGGTGGCATGGTGGCTCAGTGCATAGCACTGTGGCCTTACAGCAAGATGGTTGCTGGTTCGAGTCCCAGGTGCTCTGGTTTCCCCCACAGTCCAAACACATGCGCTATAGGTGAATTGGGTAAGCGAAATTGTCAGCTAAATCCCAGTACTGGGTTGCGGGTGGAAGGGCATCCTCTGCGTAAAACATATGCTGGAATAATTGGCAGGTCATTCCGTTGTGGTGACCTCTGATATAGAGAATAAGCTGAAGGAAGATGAATGAATGAATGTTTGCACCTTGACTTTGATTTCTTTTATTTAATTAGCTCTTTATATTAATATGATCTTTACATACATAAGCTATTTGGTTAAACTGATGATAAAATAGCTTTCAGTAAGTTATACCATGTGGAATATCATTATCGCAACATTTAACAACAACAATCACATATCCGCGTTTTCACAGTGCCATGCAGCCCTAGTTGACATAGAGGTTAAAGCTACTTTGTAGGTTCAAAACCCCTCAAAGGGAGATCATGAACTATTGCCCTAAACATCACCCTGAATTACTTGAAGATAACTGTATATTACATCAGATAAATCCATGAGCCTTTCTACCCACAAGAGGGCGATGCTGTGAAACTATGAGATGCTTCCAAACGTAGGAGACAGAGAGAGAGAGAGAGACTGCTGGAATTGCACAATAAAGGCATCCGAGTGCCGCATAGACAACTCACACATCACATCACATGAGCGAAGTACTCACCGCTACACACACACACACACACACACACACACACACACACACACACACACACACACACATTAACGCCTGAGGGATTCTGATAAGCTGATGATGAAATGATCACACTGGGAAAACACTCCGCAAGATCCATGGCTCAGAGATGAGGAACGTTTTTCAACCACCAAAAAAAAAAAAATGGCTTTAAATGTACTTAACATTAGAATGTTCTTCTTTTATATACATTTTCTTTCTGAGCATGTGACCCTGGAGCAGAAAATTAGTCAAGCACAATACCATGATGTGTCATTACATTTTTTGAGAGGTGCACGTCCGGGTCCATGTCAAGGTACAGTGAAGAATATTATGCTTTCATGTGCCTTATAATAAAAATCTGGATATACCAACACAGGGTAGATTAATACCCCGGTGGACAACAGGCCAATCAGAAGACAAAACAAACTGTGACGAGACTCACAAGCCATGCCCTCCTCATTTGCATGTATGCCTACTTTAGGTCATTCATCCGGACCTGACGAGCAGCCACAATCAAGTGCGCACCAACTCATATGCAGCTCTGACATCATAAAAAAGCTCTGAAATCATTAATATGCATGCATCAGGCTGCATTTGATGAGCCAAATGTTTTCTAGTCATACAACAGTGATAATTTGCCACCCTTAGTTATTTTAAGCATGCATTTACTATGTATGTGGGACTTTTATCTTGAAAACACAAGCCCCAAATTGTTTACTGTGCATTGCTGGGCAATAACAGCACAAGGTATGTTTCAAACTCGCTAGGGTTGGGCCGATAGACGATGCCATCGTCCATCGCGATGGCCAATAGACAACACGATGCTAAGACGGCATCGCTGATGCTCCGCCCTGCCCCACCGCAAACCCGCTCGCGAAAAATACAACCTCAGGCCCCGTATACACGAATACGTCTTAGAGTTAAAATGGCATTTCAGAACGAAAATGATCCACATCCACACCATGTTTTACCTAGCATTTCTGAACAGCCCTCCGTCCACACACACACACAGACACAAGTGGTGCTCACTGCAGAGCCACACACACACATGCACAGCCACGCGCATCTCTGAGCTTCAGAGACAGAGAGCAGTGCACGCCTTTATCAAGTATGTAGCACTGGATCGCGTCTCACTATAGTTGTTAAAAGTGATATTCAGACATCCCAAGTTTCCCGAATGTTCCGGGAGTGTCTATGCATTTGCGGGACTCATAATGGGGGCAAGCGAGTGATAATCTCCCGGAAATCGGGTGTCTCCCTCCCGGTACTCAAATAAGTCACGCACCCTTCTTACCCCCCGATCCCTCCTCGCTCTTCAGACACGTCACGTGCAGTCTATAAGAACTATAGCTTCAAAATACAATGGGATACATCTCTATCACTCTCTTTTGTCAAGTTTAATTCTAGTTTATCCTTTATCCACAACAGATCTGGTGAGCAAAATAGGTTAACGTTACTCTGATAGGGTTTATTTTTGTCAGTGCTCTGTGTATGTGTGTGTGTCTGTAAGAGTGGTAGGTCAGAGCGGAGCTCGTTAATATTCACGACCAGGGCCGGCGCGTCCATAGAGGCGACCGCCTAGTGCAGCAGATTAGAGAGGGTGGCATCCGCAACACCTCTCTCAACACCCGCGTTCTCAGTTACGTTCGCGACACCTCCCTCACCCCCCCCGCCGCCTCAGTTATATCCGCGCCTAGGGTGGCAGAATAGAGAGGGCGGAGTCCGCGACACCTCCCTCAACAACCGCATTCTCAGTTATGTCAGTTATGATAACCTGTCATTTCCATTTTCACTTTCGGTTTGAGGGCGTCGTCCTTTGCCTAGAACGGCAGTTCAGCTTGCTCCGGCCCTGTTCACGACAAAAACCATATATGGTCAATCATGGACCTTCTGATTCTAAGAGTATTTCATGGAGTATTACAGAAGCTTATCAAACCATTCCTGGATAT